CCATTTGAGGGCCCCTGGAGCCGGGTCCTCAGGAAAAGCAGGTAGATGTCCTGATAGGAACCCAGGATGGGTTTCCAGAGCCAGGGCTTGAGCTGCAGTGGAGAGGGGCCAGCCCCAGGCATGCCTCTCCTCCTTATGGGAGCTGTGGGCCTTCAGGGATCCAGGACAGAGAGTGTCAGAGAGAGCAGGAAAGGCAGCTGCTCGGGACCAGCAACCACGGATCAGAGCTGAGAGGGACCCTGGCCATCACGGGGGTCCTGATAACTGCTTCACCGGCCTGCCTTCCAGATCAGCTTTGCAGGGGCTCTCAGCAACCCTGATACACTTCTCATAGCTGATGACCCGAATCTCAGAGAGGAGATTCTGGCCCAGTGCAGCAGGTCATGGTGTCGGGTGGGGTGGCCCATGGGTGTGGAGGCAGGGCCTGGTGTGTGCCCGGCAGCAAGAGCACTTTCCTAGACTCCTGGGCCAGGACACTGCAATGGACTGTGGCAGTCGGGGTGACGGGCCCAGGGGACAGGCCACTGCCCTGGATCTTAGCCTGTTGAGTTGGAAGCAACTTTAGTGCAAGTTATAGACCTCCTGCCTTAGAGATGAGTCACCCGAGGCTCAGAAAGAGTGAGGCACTAGCTCAGGGTCACACAGCATTACTGGCAGGGCAGGGTCAGACCTGGGTCTCTTGACACTCATCTGAAACCATCTGTGTGTCCTGAGCTGTTCGTTTCTGGCCGATGACCCAGAGCAAGGACAGTCTGTGTTCTCCCTTGCGCCAGGAGGCCCTCCAGCCCACGTGTTCGTGAGAAACCTAACCCGGCCACCTTCTCAGGGGCCTGGGCTTCCGCTTGGTCTCACCTTCCTCTTCATGGAAAAACCCTCCAGTAGACTGTTTCCCAGGACCAGGTGCTGCCTGCTGCGTGCACACGGGTGACCTCCCGGGGAAGGGCCTGACCTCCTCTGTAAAGGAGTTGCTGACTTCCCAGGAAACGGGAGTCACCAAATGGGCTTCTTGTGGCAAAAGACATTCGGACCCAGACCTCGTTCTCGGAAGAATCAGAGAGGCTCTCACTTTGTCCCCTTAACCAGACCTCCTGCCAAGGAAGAGACTTCCACTTGCCTCACACCTGCATCCTCCCAGCTCAGCTTGTCCCCATCCGCTCCCCTGCCCACTGTGGCGCTGTGTGTGTGTGCGTGCGTGAGAGCCTGTAGGAATCTACGTGTGTTTGTGTGTCTGGGTGTGTTTGGGGGTTGTAGGGATATGGCAGGATCCCTTTGCCTTTCTCTCCCTAAGGACCAGGGCTGGGGCCTCCTATGTGGGCAGCTCAGGCCCCCTTCCTATGACACCGCTAGCTGGATTCCCTGGTCCAAGGCTGTAGAGGATCCTCTGTGGGCTGTTGTTATCCATCAGTTCTCTTCACACCTTGAAGCTCACCCTTCTTTGCACAGAGGGTATAAGTTAGGCTTTCCTTATTCATGGGCTTTTGGGAAAAGTCTTTACTTTGGGGCCGTTTAGCTTGGAATTGAGAATGAGTGTAATGCAAGTCTCTGTGTTGGGACTGCATTCAGCTGCACATAAGGGATGTCACCTGGCCTTAGTTTTGACAGGGAAGTGTGCTGTGTATTTCTCCTTGCAGAACAAGAAGCACAGAGGGGCAGTCTAGAGGGTGAGGGCCCTCGGTGACGTGCTCAGAGATCAGGTGCTTTCTGTCTCCCGGTCCGTGGCCTCCTCTGTAGGGTCTTGCTGATTTCACAGGCTGATGTGAGGGCCAGAAGCATTACATATGGGAGAGTGGATGTGCTCAGGTGTTCCCAGGCGCCCGGGTGGCAGGCCAGTGCTGCAGGAGCGCTCCACCCCGGGGGATGGTCCCACCGCCCTGGACGTGACCTGAGTAGCCTTCTGAGGCCCCCCACCCTGTGGGACCCTGCTGGCTTCTCTTCCTGGAACAGTGGTTTTCGAGGAAGCACGGTCAGCCTGCTGCCTCTGTGAGACGAAGGGCCAGTCGGTCAGCGTCTTTGCGGAGTCCCGGGAGAAAGATGTGGAAACCACACAGCGAAGCGCCCGAAGGATGGCCCTAAGGATGTGCCTGCTCCATGAAGCAGACGCTCTGCCTTGCCATCACCCAGGGTGGCCCGCAGCTCTGCTGACCTCAGCTGGTGCCCGGCAGCCCACCAGCCTGGGGGGTTAAGGAGTCACCAGCTTCGAAGGGCCTCGGGTGAGGGCGATGCACGCTGCTCCCCCCAGATTCTGCTCCGGGCTGGCTCCTGCCTCGGTAAAGACGACCTGGGCCTGCGGGTGACTTGGCTCTGAGTCTCCAGGGACCAAGTAACCTTTGGTGATCTCCTCCCAGCCAAGTCCAAGGCCCAGAAGTTACTGGCACGCAGCTGTGCTCTGTCAGCACGGAGGGGAGGACGTTTTGGCCCGGGTTTTAGGATTACCAACAGGCTTGCGAGGCTGGCCAAGCGAGGTCAGCTGGCAGGAGCCTCGGGACTCCACATCTGCCTGGTGCCCACAGCCGCGGCAGGGGCTTGGGACGCCAGGGTCCTGTGCTGTGGCCCTCTGCTGTCGCCAGGCCAGCTCAGAGACGCTGTCCATGCCCCGTCACCCTTCCCATCACAGGGATGGATCTAAGGTCAGAGGTCGTCTCCCACCATCCGCTCCTCACATCGTCATTCACAACATGCATCAGGACTGAGTGAAAAAAGGGAAGAAGAAGAAGAAAAAACCAATAGGAAATGAGCTTGAACTTAGCGTAGATTTTAGACAAGTTTCTAACAGAAAGATTTGCTGCTGTCTACAGGGGCAGGACTGGGACAGTTCCACGTCCTCCCCCAGGCCTGTCCTCTCACCTGACACGGAGCACCCCGCGGCCAGGACCCCCGCTCCCAGAGTTTCCAGAAGCTCTCACGTGTCCAGACACAACTTTGACAAACAATTCCTCACATTCCTCTCCTTTCTGCCCCTCCCCACTCCTCCTTTCTCTTGCTAACTCTCCTCCCCAACCTCTCCCGGGGCCCGAGGCCGGCTGGGAGAGGCCACATCTTCACCCTCGGCCTCCTGCCCTCACACTGAGCAGTGCAGCTGGGGAGGTGCTAGTTTAGCTCTTTGGGGAGCTCTGCTCTCACTTATTCCCTAGCATATTTTTTTCCCATTGGGAATAGAAACAGAGCAACTCTGGCACCAAGTGAAGTTGCTGCAGGATGCCCTCCTGCAGACGACTCTCCACCCTCCCCAGGCTTCCCTGGGGAGAGGGAGCGGGGAGGGCAAGGGGGGCCCCAGGGATCCGGGGAGAACTTTGGCCTCCTCCATCCTGCCCCCACTTCCCTCCCCGCGCTGAGTCAACGGCCTAGGTCCATCCAGGGCGGCAGGTGACCTGTGTCTGCAGGTCCCACAGTTCTTGCCCGAGCATCGTGGAGTTGGTGGCAATCTTACTCCGCTAGCTGACATAGCAAGACACCATAGACCGGTGACTTCGACACCAGGTATTTCTCACAGTTTTGGAGGCGGAGAAGTCCAAGATCGATGTGCGTGCGGATTTAGTGTCTGACGACAGTTGCTTCCTGGTTTGCAGACCACTGCCTTCTTGATGTGTAGAGAGATATCTTTTCTCCTTCCTCTTCTCATAAGGGTGCTAATCCCATCATGACCTCATCTAAACCTAATTACCGGGGACTTCCCTGGTGGCGCAGTGGTTAAGAACTGCCTGCCGATGCAGGGGACACGGGTTCAAACCCTGGTCCAGGAAGATCCCACATGCCACGGAGCAACTAAGCCCGTGCGCCACAGCTGCTGAGCCTGCGCTCTAGAGCCCCTGTGCTGCAACTACTGAAGCCCGCACGCCTAGAGCCCGTGCTCCGCAACAAGAGAAACCACCACTGCAGTGAGAAGCCCGTGCACGAAGAGTAGCCCCTGCTCAGTGCAACTAGAGAAGGCCCGCACGCAGCGATGAAGACCCAAAGCGACCAAAAATAAATAAATACTTTTTAAAATAAAATAAATAAATAAATAAACCTAATTACCTCCCAAGGGAAGGGCCCACCTCCTAATACCATCACATTGAGACTTAGGGCTTCAACATATGAACCTGCAGGTGGGGACACAGTCATGCAGTCCGTAATAGGGGGGATGTTCCCTCAAACTCCTCTGGCCATTCCATCACTGGGATTGGGTCCTTGGAACACAGGGAGGGAGCCTCAGGGTGCAGTGTGATAGGGTGGGCAATCCCAGCTCTTCAGCCCGGTCCAAATTAGGAGGAGGGATGTGGGGTACAGCAGCGGCTGGCCTAAGAATCAGGGCCTCGCGGCACCTCCCAGCTCGGCCATTCCTTTGCTGCAAGGTCCTGGGGGTTCCTTCACCTTCGAGTCTTCGCATTAAATCGGGGTCTTTCCATGATCGCTGTGACTCTTCCTAGCGCTACAGTTGACGGGCTTTGTGATCCAGAAGCCTGTGTCTCAGACTCCGCCTGGCTGCCAATCAGGGTGGATGGACAGAGCAGAGTGGAGGCCGCAGCCTGCGGGGGAGGTCACACCCCCTCGGTGACTCCCCTGACCTGGCAAACCCCGGGGCTCCATCACGTCCCACACTCTGTCCTTCCCACCCAGAGGGTCAGGAGCGGGCTGGGGCAGAGGAGTGACAGGGCACAAAGCAGCCTGTGGGGGGCAGGCGTACCCCCAGTTCTGACTCCTGCACTCACGCTCAACCCGTGGGCTGTGCACACCTTCCTCCCGGGGCTTCGGAGGGGCTCCCGCACTTCACCCTTGCCCCCCCAGACGGTGCTTTCAAGTCAGCCCGTTCTGATTCTCATTCCCCTGTTTCCAGGTAGGCAGGTGGGCAGGCATCAGAGCTTCTGGAATGTGTGCGGGCTTGGCTCCCCCAGCCCTGCTCTTCCCCTGGGATGGGGTCCGGGGCGCCACTGGGTGGGGAGGACCCTGGGGGGGAGGGTGTGCTCTGGCCACTCCCCACCCCCACCCCCGCCTCTGACCCCCCTGTCGTGTGCTCTCCACAGCCTGCGATTGCCACCCTGTGGGCGCCGCTGGCAAAACCTGCAACCAGACCACGGGCCAGTGCCCCTGCAAGGATGGTGTGACCGGCATCACCTGCAACCGCTGTGCCAAGGGCTACCAACAGAGCCGCTCCCCCATCGCCCCCTGCATAAGTATGCCAGGGCACCCTCCTCCTGCAGGCTGGGGTCGGGTGCGGGCTCGGGGCTGGGGGGCCCTTCCCGGACACGGGTCACCCGCATCCAGTGGGGGTGGTGCTCCCTGAGGTGGCCCTCTGCGCTCGGGGAGCCTGTGTGAGACCCCCAAGGCTGCGGGGGTCTCCGCAGAGCCAGCCCATTTGTGGTTCTCTGTCCTGAAAAGAGTCTCCTGCTCCCAGGGTGTGGGGTGATGGGGGGAAGCAAGCCCCTCTCCTCAGCCCAGGTCCTGTTCCCATGTTCCACCATGACCCTGGGCCGGGGCCTGGGTCAGGGGCTGCCACTGCTGCTGCTGGAATTCCAGGATCCCCAGCCCCTGGCAGATTCAGAACTGAAAGGACGGACTCCACAAGGCCTCTGAGAGAAGCCGGCACGGCTCCCATGCGCCCTTCGGAAGGGTGGCAGCCCTCCATGAGGGTCCTAGAGGCCCTGGCAGGCCAGCTGTCGGCCCCTTAGTTGCTGGAACTTGAGGCGGGGCGTGAGCAAGGTGGGGGGGTCGCTCAGAGGCCTTGGCTCCGAAGAGTTTTAACATCTGACAACTGATAGGATTGCGTAGGTGTTATGAGCTGGATTAGCCCTGGTTGGAAGTCAGGCCTGGTTGGGTGCTGGCCCCCTGGCCTCAGCCTCGTTGATTCCATGTGCAGGGCTGACCCGCACCCAGAAAGGAGGGGGAGGAACGCGTGAATCCTAGCCTACTAGGCAGACACCAAGGATAAGGCTTTTTTTCTGGAGCAGGGGTTAGCACACTCTGCTCGGGGATTTGGCCCACTGCCTGTTTTTATGTGGCTCGATGGGGTTTTGGGTTTCTTGTTAACCTTTTTAAAATGACTGAAACAGAAATTAAAATATTACTAGTTTATGACATGCGAAAATGATATGAAAGGAAAAGCTCAGTGTCCATAAATAAAGTTTTATGGGACCAGCCATGCCCACTTGCGCCCGCGCTACCTGTGGCTGCTTTGGGGCTCTAATGGCAGAATTAAGTAGTTGCAACGGAGACCCTACGACCTGCAGGGCCTAAAGTCTTTGCGAGCTGGCCCTTGGCAGGAGAAGTCGGCCGACCCCTGCTTGTGGTCTTCCAGCGTCCTGTAGCTCTGGGTGGGCACTGGCTTCTCAGGTCAGGCACAAGGGGCTTGGAACAAACAACCCGAGGCAGAAGCAGGAGGGTGGGGACCCCTCAGCCTGGCAGCTGCTTGGGCTTCTTGGAGTGACCCCCTAGATCTTGCAGGGAATGTTCTCACACCGGGCAGGAGCCTTAAACCCCCAACACCTCGGCTGCCCGACTCGGGTGCGGCCTCACGTCCAGGACACGACGAGCCGTGTGGGTTCCAGCAGCTTTTCTGACCAGTTTCTACATCAGGAGATGTTTCCTTGTTGGCAGGGGTCCAGTAACAGCGGATAACGTAAATTCAAGCCACGGGATATTGAGCTTGTATCCATCCAGGGGAGAGAAGGTTGAAATGAGTTTTCACGACATCTAATTGTCAGGGTCTCACAGCTTGCAAGAGTCTTTCTTTTCCGTCCATCCAAAAAGCTGTACGGTGAACATTTTTAGAAAGCTGGGAGGAAATTAGCACCACCATCTGGGCTTACGAAAACATGAAGGGAGCAAGTGAGGTCTCCCTTTTAAAGGGAGTCGGGAGCTGTTGGGTTTCCCAGAAATGGCTGAAACCAACATTTCAAATCCCCAGGGGGAAAGGCCTTGACATGGAGCTGATGTTTCATGATTAGGGACAGAAACCTTGGGAGACTGGAACTATCACTTTCTAACATGCTCTGTACCGTCTCCCTTCCTCTCGCAAAGGGCGGGCTGATGCTGGGGAGAGCGTTCCCACCAAGGACCTGAGGACCCGGGTCTCCATCTGCCGGCATCAGGCTACAGGTGCCCAGACAGTGCCTCGGACACTTGTGTCTGATTCGCAACAGCTCTGGGAGCCCCAGGGCCCTCTGCTCACGTCCCAGAGCCAGGCCTAAGGAGCTGGGCTTGGGCAGCCAGGGTGCCTCCATGGCCACTGGCCCCAGCCCCATTCCTGGACTTGTAAGATTAGGCTGGGCTGTCTGCATTTCTCTCTGGAATGTTCCTGCTGGGCCAGGTAGCTCAGGAAGGCTCAGAGAGGGCCTGCTAGGAGGCCCGGCTTCTTAATGAGCTGCTGTGACGGGGCACCTGTGGCTTGTTGTCGCTGATAAAATCACCCGAGAGCAAGATTTGACTCCGGATCGAGGGCTGGGTCTTCTGCCTGTTCCTTCTGAAGGTGCAGAGGCTGGCTTCTGTGGGTGACCCTCACGTTTGCCCCCAGGCCCGGGTATTCCATCTCGACCCCCCCAAGCCTCAGATCGCAGCTGACCTAGAGTCTGGGGGTCCGAGGGAGGTCTTACCCCTAATAGTCAGATGGTGGCCAGAATCAGTGGGATTCGTGGAGGCCTCTGTGACCCCCTGTTCACATGGTCACTCAGCAGGGGAGGTGAGCCCCTGTCCCTCAGGGACTTTCGGCTCGTGGTTTGGCCTCGTCTAGAAAGGAAGCCGGAGACGTGAAGCCTGGGTCTTCCCGGAGTCTGGCTGAAGTTCCTCACCTTTTCTGAGCACCGGGTGGGAGCTTGTAGAGAAACTAGTTGCCTTTCTAGGCAGGAGAGGAATGGTCACAAAAAAGCACATGCTTCTGTCAGGCCCTACGGTCTTCTGTACTGTCAGTCTTTTCTGTCCGCCGAGAAAATGCCTTAGCTTGTGAGATGCGAGATGTGAGCCCGGGGGAACTTGGGCCAGGGGTGCAGGCCCCTCTCTGCACATGGAAGACAGCCCCTCACATGCCACCCCTGCCATGGACCCCCTTCCCCGCCAGTGAGTCAAGGTCAGACCGGGCCACGCAGCCCCATCGTGATGAGCAGGGGGCCCTGGGGACCCCTCTCTCTGCCCCAGGGGCCGAGGTGAGTCAACAACATGCAGACAGCAGAGGGGTCAGGGTCCTGCCTTCCCCTCGCTCCTGTCCCTGCCAGGTGGAGGGATGGCTTCCAGAAGAGAACAGGTAGGGTGCCCGGGCCCTCACGCCGGCTTTCCCTTCCTCCCTGACCATCCTCTGCTGGGGCGAGGAGTGGGGCTGGGAGGGAGGGCCCAGGAAGGTTGGGAGGAGTCTGCACTGTGCTCGTTCTTCTCTAACATGTTCTTATTGTTTCCCCTTCCTCCCACCCTGAACCCCACAAAGAGATCCCCGTGGCACCGCCGACCACTGCAGCCAGCAGCGTGGAGGAGCCCGAAGGTAGGCTTCCCCCTTTGCTGCCTTCCTGCTTTTGCCGTAGGGTGGGGTGGGGCCTGGGGAAGGGGGTTAGAGGGGCCAGACTCCTCTGAACCAGCATCAGGGTGCTGGCTGGTATGAGTGGTACCCCTGGGCTGGATTGAGGATGATGGAGCCACAGGGCATTTTTCTGCGATGTCCCTTCCAAGAATGGTGCCTAAGGCTAGCCTGTCTCCCAAGCCTGGGACCCTCAAAGCCACATTCCTCTTGCTCAGCCAGCGAGGGTAAGAAGCTGCCTTCCAGTCTAGGGCCACCTGAGCTGGGGGTGACTCCTTTCGGGGTTGCAGAGGAGGAAGGAGACGGGTGGTGGGGATGAAAAAGGCATTCTAGAGCACTGGGGTCCACAAACAGAATTGGGGGAGGGCATGAATCGGGACAGGAAGAGACTCACCCCCTCACTGTCCCTTCCTTCTAACTGAAATCAAGAGTTTCCTGGGGAAAAAAAAAAAAAAAAGACTTTCCTGGTGGTCCAGTGGTTAGGAGTCCGCACTTCCACCGCAGGGGGTGCAGGTTCGATCCCTGGTCGAGGAACTAAGACCCTGCCTGCTGTGTGGTGCGACCTAAAAAAAAAAAAAAAAAAAGAATTTCCTTTATTGCAAAGATGGGCCACAAACCATAGCCAGGCCAGCAACATCAGTGATTTGGCCACCAGCAGAAGTCCCAGCCGTTTCCACATCACGTTAGAGTCGGTGCAGCTATCATGGAAGAGTATTTACGCTCACTAAATTGCTTCAGAATGACGGAGGTTACCAGACCTGCTGCTAGGTCCTGACTTATAATCATTAATAAAGAAACACATACATTACGTAACTGTACCCTAAATCTGGGGTTTTGGAAAGATTTGGGTTAAGTGTATTTCAGTATTGATTAGTTTCCTTTGTAGTCCTATGGATTTTATTTCTGCATTTAAAAACATTACTGTGAGAAAGTAAAAATGTCGCTGTGACGTCCGTGGACGTCACCAGTCCTTGGTACAAGAAGGGTCACCCAGTCCTGGCTTTGGGTACAGAGAGGGCTCGGAGCCTGGCTGGAGGGGGCACCAGGAGAGCAGGCCATGCTGTACCCAGCGCCCTGGGCCTGCGGTCCCATGGGGCTTTTGTGTACTGGTACTTGGGAGTGGGAATGGGGGGCAGGAATGGAGACAGTGGGGCCCTGCAGGGACATCAGTGTCAGCTCTGGGAACTCCTTTGCTCCTCCCCAGATCCACCTGTTGGGGAGGTCTGTGCACCCATGTGGTCACCTGAATACTTTAGTTTTTAAATTTAAAAAATTTTTGGCTACGTGGCACAGCCTGCAGGATCTTAGTTCCCTGACCAGGGATCGAACCTGCACCCCCTGCAGTGGAAGTGCAGAGTCTTAAGCCACTGGACCGCCAGGGAAGCCCCCACCTGTATACATTAGAATAGACTGGATTTTTTTTGAATATTGGCCATGCGCTGGGAACTTGAGAGAAAACGGATTCAGAACTTGGATGTGCACCATCACCAAACAGCCCTCAAAGAGGAGAGGACAGAAAATTTCAGGGAGTGCTGGAGGCTACACTGGGGAAAACCAAAGATATTTTGGTCTTGGGTTGTTGGGCAGAGTCTTCTGTCACCTTTGGTTGAGCCCCGGGGGACACTTACAGGAGAAACAGTGCTGGGAAGGGGATGAAGGAAGCAGCATGACGGGTGCCTGGGAGGCAGGATGAGGAAGCTCTTTGGTAAAAACATAATAAAAGGAACAGTCCAGTTAGTTCAGCTCTCGGGTAGAGCAGTTTTGAAGCGAGAAGACACTTCCAGTTAATGCAGTCGCGATTCTTGCTTCCTTGCTGTGACATGAGTCCCATCAGAACTCACCGGGGCTGAGAACACAGCTCATCCAAGGACAAGGCATATCTTCACCCTCTCTCTCTCTCTCTCTCTCTCTCTCTCTCACCTCCCATCTTTCTGGTCCTTGCAATCTTGTCTTTATGTTTCTTGCAGTGGTTTTGGCTTTTTCATTCCACATTAGAAATGGGCAAATGGAAACAAGACAGGAGAAGCAAAAAACAACTCATGAGATTTCTGTACACACCACAAGAAGCTGGTATAAAACATGCAACGATCTCCACTCAACCAGACAAAAGATTCCTGGGCAACTAACAAACACTTGTAGCATTTTCCTTTGAAGAGTGTTTATCAACTCTCAGTTAACTTTTCTGACTCCTTTTGATTTTGTCGCTGTTTATTTCCTTTCTTCTTTCTGGACGTTTAAAAACATGGTTTAAATGGATGCAAACAGTAAATGAACACCCTTTAACAAAGTGCTTTCTCCACAGAGGGGCTAAGCGAGCAGGTGTGATGCTTGCTGGGATGCTGTGTCCTTGGCCGGACCCTTTGTGACCTTCTCTGGGTCTCCGAATGGTCAGGATCTGTGATGCTTTTTCTGGAGAACTCGGGCCAGGTCTAGACTACGGGCGCTGGGACTCCGGGGTCTGCCACCACAAAGAGGCCCTGCTCTCCTCATCTCAGCAGGAGGGACGTTGTGGGCAGGAGGCCAGGGGCCCCCCTGGGAAGTGGGGCCTGGGAGCTCAGTACTTCCAAGCCTGTCGATTCTTGCAGTGTTTGAATAGGGAAGGCCTCCGTGCTGGGCTGCCTGAGAAAAGCTTGTTTACTTTTGCCTGCGGAACAGAGGAGAATTAATAAGCCAAGAATTTGTCCTGAAAGCTGATGGACATAACCTCACCCTGAACCCATCCCCTTGAAGGGCCAGCTCACTCCGGGAATGCTGTCCACCTGCTCACTAAGCTGGCTGGTACCCGGTCTTGGGGCAGGGAGGCGAGGAACCTTGGGGCCAGGAGGGAGATGGGGCAAACCGACTCTAAACCTATCTACTTGTGGTTGTAGAGACCTAACACCACCTGCCTTCCCTTCCCCTGCACCAACTCCGAGGTAGCTGTCGGAGTTTGGTTTGTGGGGGGCATATTGTTTGGTTTGTGGGGACCCCTTGGTTTAGCAGCAGTACCATCTTGGAGCCGGGAGATCTGGGGTTGATTCTCCCCTGGCTGTGAGGCCTTGGACAGAGCAAAGACTTCTCTCTTCTGCTTCCTTGAAAGATGACGGGGTGGGACCAACGGTCCAGGGCCCTCCCCGCCCTGCCTCTCCTGGGAGGATTGAACTTCTGCTAATAAGCTTTCTCCTTCCTTGTAAATGCCTGCTTGCACCCCTCCCCACTCTGCTGACCAGCTTCTTCCAAGGGCCTTGCGGGTCCTCATGAGCAGAGGCACGCAGTAAACAGTTAACACCTGGCTGGGGCGGGGCCTGATGTATAGCATTTGCTGCTTTCCCTGGTGTAAACGGCTCCCACGTGAGAGCCCACGTGAGCCTCCCCCGGAGACGCCTGAGGGAGGAAGGGCCGCCTCTGGGCGGGGCCAGAAAGCCATTGACTTTCGCTGGCCTCCTGGGCTGGAAGGGGCACAGCTGTCGTCCGAGTGAAAGCTGGACCCGGGATGCAGGTACGAGAGCGAACAACCGGCTCCCCTCCTCCGCCCCCACCTACCTGGGTCTGGGGGCCACCCTCTGGCCCAGTTGCACTCACCCCCTTTGGGGTCCCGAGTGGTGCCCTTTGCCAGCTGCTCCAGTGGTCCGGCGGGGGGTGGGGGTGGCTTCTGAGGCCCCCCGGCAGCCGTTCGGGGGAGCCTGGCGGCTGAACCTACGGGAGCTGCCCCGCCTCAGGTGCTCCCAGGTGTGGGGTGGGAGTGGGCTGAGAGATGTCACCTCTGGTGGCCTCGCAGCACCTCCATTTGTTTCATGGAAGACTATTGGGTTTTTATAGACCTGCCGCTGGATAAGCTTGGATTGTTCTCGTTTTAGGCTTTGGTTTTCCGGGGTAGGGGGTAGGTTGGGTGAGTAGAGGAAACGAGCTGATAAGAGTTGAACGCACTACTGGCCGAGTGTTCGGGCGGTGGGGGGGGAAGGGCAGTGAACTGGGAGTTCTGCTTGATCTTGTTTCCTCCCCTGTGAACCGGGGTCATGATAACCCTGTTGTGTACGGTTGTCGTGGGGATTAAATGAGATGCTCTGGGTAAAGCCTTTGGTTCAGTGGCGGGCTTATCCTAAGTGCTCAGTAAAAAAGCAATGGAGGGGGCTTCCCTGGTGGCGCAGTGGTTGAGAGTCCGCCTGCCGATGCAGGGGACGCGGGTTTGTGCCCCGGTCCGGGAGGATCCCACATGCCGCGGAGCGGCTGGGCCCGTGAGCCATGGCTGCTGAGCCTGTGCTCCGCAACGGGAGAGGCCACAACAGTGAGAGGCCCGCGTACCGCAAAAAAAAAAAAAAAAAAAAAAGAAAAGCAATGGAGGGACTTCTCTGGTGGCGCAGTGGTACAGCCGCCTGCCAGTGCAGGAGACGCGGGTTTGAGCCCTAGCCGGGGAAGATCCCACATGCCGCGGAGCAACTAAGCCCGTGCACCGCAACTACTGAGCCTGCGCTCTAGAGCCCGCGAGCCACAGCTACTGAAGCCCGTGTGCCTAGAGCCCGTGCTCCGCAACAAGGGAAGCCACTGCAGTGAGAAGCCTGTGCACCACAACAAAGAGTAGCCCCTGCTCGCTGCAGCTAGAGAAAAGCCCGCACACAGCAATGAAGACTCAATGAAGCCAGAAAGAAATTAAAAAAAATTTTTTTAAAGCAATGGAACGCCATGGAAAATACAAACACTGCAGTGTATGGAAGGGTTGAGCTGAGCTGAAGTCTCATAGCTCCTCACCAGGGATGTGGGTTTGCATGAGGACAGGTGTAGACAGTCAGCCAGAGGGAGGGCTTGTGAGAAGAACTTGATTGGGAACAGGTGGGGCTGCCCAAGGCAGAAGGTGGCCTCACAGACTGTAAGACCCTGTTAAAGACTGGAAATCAACTAAAGGGCTTGACTTCACAATAGCCAAAAGGTGGAAACAGCCCAGTGTCTACCTTTGGGACAGAATGGATGGTGGCAGGATGGATAAACTCCAT